TGAAGTCAAGTAAAGCCTACGCACTCCGAGGTGTAATATTCGCGTAGATTACATTGACCACTTCAATCAGGAATCTGACTACCAGCCAGAATAGACGTAAGCAGAGGCCGTAGGTCTTAGCGGTGCTGCTCGCCTTTTGGCATTTTATGACGTCCGCTGACAGATTTCACTTCCAGCGGAAAACGGAAGCAGCTCGTTTGACTGGCTGCAGCTGGAGCTCGCTGCCTGGCCGGGCCGGGCCTGGCCTGGCCTGGCCAACAAGCGGCTGCGAGATGACTTCCTCGACGACGCATTTTTTGTAGGCGCTGTCTCTGGTTTGCATTTAATAGATTAATTAGAGGCAAGGCGAGCGCCGCCCAATGATTAAGCAAAAGTTGTTGCGCCGCTGACTTCCGTCAATCAACTGGCCACTGCAAGTGCTGCAGCGGCGCAGGGGAAGGCGCAGGAGGTGGCAGCAGGTGGAGGCGACACTTGCCAGAGCGTCACAATATGTGCTGTGCTTGGCTTGTGTTGCCTTGGTTTGCTCTGCTCTGCTCTGCTCTGCTTTGCTCTGCTTTGCTCTGCATTGCTGTGACGTCCAAGTTAAAGTTTATAAACCGAGCAAAAGCAAACGCAGAACTCAATTCAAACGCCTGCTGCGACAGCGACTGCGACTGCGGCTGCGGCTGCCGTCCATTTTTTTTTGCGCCGCCTTTTGTCAACTGGCACCGCAAGGTGGCCCGGACGATGGCGATGCCGACGGCGACGGCGACACACAAAAACAACATCGAGATACACTGAGAGAAACAAGAAAAACATGCAACAAAAATGCCAACCGCAGGCACTTGATGCCAAGCGACGCTGGCGGCGCTGGTGGAGCTGGTGGAGCTGGTGGTGCTGGTGGCCCAGGGCCCGACGCCGACAGAACGTGGTTAGCAAATTTATTATGTAAACGGAAATACGGCATATCCTTGCCCAGTGGCGATGGCAGGAGCAGGGGCAGAGGCAGGGGCAGGGGCAATGGCGAAGGCAATGGCAAAGGCAAAGGCAAAGGCGACGGCGCCGCAGCAATAGAAATAGTTTTGCGGCTGTCGAGGCAAAAAGGGCACAGAAGGCGAGGGCAAGCGGGTGAGCGGGTGGGCGGGCGTATGATGCCAGTCGGAGTAGGAACGGGAGCAGCACCAGGAGCTGAAGCTGAGGCTGGACTGAAGGAACTGCCGGAGCTCGTAAATCGCATAAATTGTATAATTCTGTTCATTGTTGTTGTTTCTGTTGTTTGTTGCTTGTTGCTGTTGTCTGTTGTCCGTTGTCCGTTGTCTGTTTTGCGAATTTGTTGCCAAATTGCGTTCGTAGGTGAACCTTTGTTCTGCGGGCCAGCAGAAAGAGTAACCCAAAATGAAACAATATGTTGCCCAGCCAGCCAGCCAGCCAGCCAAGCATCCGGGCCGTCAACTCTCCGTGCCGCGTTCTATTGAGCATTGGGAGCACGTGCGCCGCAAACTCTGCGGCTGCTGATGACAGCGATAGCAAATTAATGACAGGATCAACACCTGCGGCAGGACTGCAGTCAGCAGCTTTGGATTGGCTTTGGATGAGAGCAGACTGATTGAATTTCGACTGGCTGTCAATTAGCAGTAAGTGTCGCAATGCCGCACCTCACCTCAACTCGCCTTCACTGAAGCGCCACAAGTCTCAGCAGGCAACGGGTCGTATACCTAACGCCAGCGAAGACACAATATAATATGCCAAAGAGCAATCATTGACATCGATACAGATACAGATGCTCGGAGATGGAGTCTAATCACTGAATTCCAGAACAATGAAGAATACAAAAATAATACTATATAAATATATTATGATATCCTATAACGGAACTTGCACAGTTTTTATAGCTTGACTAGAGTAGAGTTGATACTGTCTGAGAGATAAGCGAGTGTTACGAGATGATCTAAATACTGAATTCATTAGATGAGCTCTAAAGTAAATTTAATAGGAAGACGGGGATGCGTACATCGACTCATATCATGTCCCAATGAACAATATATGTATGTGTGTATATGAGTACACCCACATAAAACAAAATATCATCAGGGCCCATTTTCAATGCGCCCAGGATTTAAAAATATTTAGACATATATATTCCATTATTTTCAATCAGATTAGATGTAATTCTAAAGTCTAATGGATATTATCAACCTGATGGATAACCTATAAAAAATTAAAAATAAAAAGAAAATATATATTTACAAGTGAGTCAAAATACTGCCACGGTTAATTCGGACCGAGTCGCTACTGGACCATCGCAAGGTCATAGGCAAGCAAAAAGCTTTTGTATTATCACTGACCAGAGAGAGAGGGACTGAGAGAGAGAGAGTAGGACAAATGGCACAGAGCCGTGCTTCATACGGAATCGGGACCATTTCGGTTGAGCGCTCATAGCGCACTGTTTTTGACGTGCAGCATTTTCACTGCTTGAACCTCCAGCGACCGAGCCGAGCAAATACGAAGAATAGTGGTACCTCAACTTAACAGTGTCGAGGTGTAGAAAAGTTTGTTCTACATGTCTAGTCTATGTGTTCTCTGGTCAGTGGTATTATGTATATACTTAAATATTTGAGGGGAGTCGAATTAATAATTTGATTTATAAGCATCAATCATATTTTGTTGCTCGTCAAAAGTTAAATAATGGCATAATTAAACATGAATTATTATTCATTCGTTTTTAAGAATTATTTCTTTATTATCTTGGAATATTATTTGGAATGATGATGATCCATATATCGATCGATGCTTCATAAAATTACCCACTTCAAATAAAGTTAATTGAAATCATTTAACTAGCTGCTATTGTAATTATCCAAGGGACAATCTGGGCGGCAGGGACACGTCGAGAGGTAAATTCCCACACAGAACATGACAAAAGCTTTTATTTAAATAGTTTATCAATCAGTCATTCAACCGATCAATCGGCTATTTGAAGTCTTTAAATTTAGTTATGGCAGCCCTGGTGCCAATTGGTAGCTCAATGCGACAATGCAGCCCTGGTATATTGTAAATTCTCGCACTTGATTTGACGGCGGACGCATCAAATAGAAAAAGTTTGCGAGCCAAGAGGACGCCTATGGCAAATTTATGGCTCTGAATCAATGTGCAACAAAGCGTGCCACAGATTGAGGCAGAGAGCCAGACAGACTCAACCTGAAACTGAAACTAAAATTAAAGGAAACGTTACTTTCACAGGCAAAAATTCATTGATCTGCAGCTCAATTAATTCATAAGTATGCTAAGAGCTAAGAGACACACACACACAATGAAGATTTCGGTGTCTAAATTTAAACGCAATCAAAAGTCAAAGAGCGAGAAAAACGCGTGTTAAACAGTTTAACACTTCTGCATGGCCACGTCGGGCCAAACACCAAGAGAAAGAAATGAAGCTCATAATTCATTGGAGTCGCACACAGTGGGAGAGAGAGAGAGGGAGAGAGTGGGAGAGAAGAGATCTGGGAACGTCTAAGAAAGCCAAAAGGAAATGGCAATGCATTAAGAAATAAGCAATTTGCTTTGCCAGAGCAGCAAAAAGCGGCAGAGCAACAGACACAAGGCGCAGGATGTAGGATGCAGGAGGCGGCACAGGACCAGGACGCAGAACGCAGGACACGGGCCACGGGCCATGCCAGCCAATGTGTCGCGACTGTAATGCAAACGCAGAGGCTGGCAGTAAATGCTAAAGGCTAGCCAAGGACATACAGCCCCCGCCCAGCCCCTGCCCCGCTCATCCTCTCGGAGGGGGCCTTCAGTTATCCTACGCTAAGTAGTTGCATTAAAAGCTTACAACCGAATATCCAAAACCCAGAGCTCGGCGACTGCAACAAATGCAAAGCAAATTTTCCAGGCGCCCAGCCCATAAACTTTGCCACGCCCTTTTTTGTGCGCCCTTGTCGCCCCTGCTGCTGCGACGGGTTTTTGGCAGGCGCTCAAGTAACGTCTTCCATTGCGGCAGTAAATCATTTCTCGTTGCCTGCTCAGCCAGTTGACAACCTTAAAGCTGTTATTAATTCGGTATGAATAGTCGATGTGAGTGATTCGATAGCTATCGATAGCTGAGTGAGTGGGGATTATTGCAACGGTTCATTATGGATGTTTAACGGGGATGGAAGGTCGCTTACTCTACGCTAGCATAGTTTAATTCCTGAATAGTTTTATTGAATATCTTACAGAGGGCTGAGTGACGATATCAGTGAATTTGAGATATTAATTTTGGGATACGCCATGAAATCAGTTACCATATATATTCGCGATCTGCTTGACTCCAGTTATGATTGGTGTCGATTAATATCGAATCGATTGTCCGTAATCGTTTGCTAATATAAATACGGAATGAACAATTTATTTAGCTATATGAATTTTAATAACATTTTGTCATAGCCATTAATTGGTTAAATAGAGATTTAAATATCAAGATAGATAGGAATATTTAAAATTATTAATTTTATAACAGTCTCCGTCGATTAATATCGATTTTTACATGTTTTATTTAAGATGTAAATATCAGGTGATATATGTAGTTCTTCAATCTGCAGGTTAATTACACCGTTAAAAGTGTTAATTCATTCATGAAGTGAAGCCATAATGATATGTGTGTTTCATCTAATGATCTTGTAAGTGAATTTAATTCTTAAAAAAAAAAAAAAAACTATTCTTATTAATTCAAATTGCGAATCTAGTTTATGGTTTATGGTTTATTTATAATATTGTTGAGCACTGTAAGTGCTTTGGTGAAAAATTTATATGATAAAATTTTGTGTTTTTCTTATGGATTAGTTTATTTAAATTTTGTTTTCTCAAATATTCAATGTTACAAAATTCAAATTTGGCGGTTGAGCTATCGCCATCTGTTGGATTTTTTATGTAAGCAGTCAGAGCTGCCAGCCATGTAATATAGCGTTGCCAACTGCTGCATGGAGCTGCCAACTGGTGCAATTAGTGGCAGTTTCGTTTTCCGCAGAGAGGTCACACTGTTTTTGCATCCTCCTCTTTGTCGAGCTGTTCGCCGATGCAACATTCGTGAAATTGTTAAAATTGTTAATTTTTGACAGTGGCTCGCAGCTACAAATCGTAACAGTGCAACTGAAAAATCGTGTTCAAGGCGTGACACGTGTGTTTGTTTGCCGAACGCGGCTATTCATCACAATTTCGGGGCGTGTTTGGAGCGAGAAAATGGAAAACGCATGTTTCGTGCTCAGATAAGGCCCAGCTGTGCGTCGGTCTCGCTCAAATTCAACAAATTGCGAAAAGTTTCCGGCTAGGCTTACAATCGAACAACACAGCGACTGCGAATAACCAAACAGCTGAAAGCAGGACAAAGGCTGTGACAGAAACAACAACAAAAATCACTGCAACAACAACTTAACACGAATACAACTACAATCCCCATTCGAGTACACACACCATCCAAAACACACACACACATAAAAAAAACCACAACAACATGCACCCACTGCAAAGTAGTTAAATAATTCTGCCCTGTCTGCGCTTTATTTCCCCTTCATTCTTGTACTCGTTTTAATTTCAACAAGTTTTCTGTTCTCGCTTTCCCCACATCTCTTTTAAACCATCCGACGCGCAGTTCTTTTTTCGTTACTACACAATAACAACAACTACAGCAATATACAAAACTCACACAGACAAACACACACGCACTCACACATACAGTGACACGTACGGCTCTCACACGAACAATCCGACATACAACAGTTTATTTGCTGTGACGCAGCAGCCAACAAAAATCACCTGCAAATACGGCACGAGACCAGCGACCGGCTCCCGGTGCAGCTGTCATAGTGAAAAGAGCAACAACAGAAACACCCATACACACAAACACACTTGTTGCAAAGGCAGCAAAAGAAGAGGCGGAGAGTGAGTGAGCAAGCAAGCTAGCGCGAGCCTATAGGGGGAGCGACTACGAGAGAGAGGGAGATAGAAGAGGGACGTCAAGGCGGCCGTCTCTTCATTAAGTGCCTAAGCAGTCAGCTATCAGCCACCGCACATTAAAAACGCAAAGGTAAGCACCCAGATGTTCGCGAAAGTGTTTCAATCATCATTCATGACACGGCTAATTCACAAACGGCAAACGGTACCCAGCTCACGCACACACGCACACAGCGCACATAAATAAATCGTTGATAAGCCGGCGCTGCAGTTACCGGCGGCCTCTCAATCGAATGTCTGATAAGAGGGAATCACGATTCTCATGTGCGGGCACATTCAAATTAAACGCGACACAAACAAAATGATAAAGCTGAATGAAATATGGCCCGAATCGTTACGGGAATTTGCGAATTGTTCGATCCACTAACCATATCTTTATACTTGTAGATGGTCAAGGAGAAACCCAACTCGACACGCATCTATGATAAGGATGGTTTTCGACGGCGAGCTGCCTGCATTTGTGTGCGCGCCGAGAACGAAGACGAGGTAATCGTCGATAGTTTCTCTTTTTTTCTATAGCTCAGTTATTTGATTATTAGTTAAAATTTAAATTAAATGGCGTATAGCATAATAAAGCTTTACTAAATTGCAGGTTCTGCTGGTGACCTCTTCACGCCGTCCAGAATTGTGGATTGTGCCAGGCGGCGGGGTTGAGCCAGAGGAAGAGCCCTCGGTCACCGCCGTGCGCGAGGTTCTGGAGGAGGCAGGCGTTGTGGGCAGTCTGGGACGTTGTTTGGGTGTCTTTGAGGTATCGATCAATTAAATAGTGAATTCGTGTTTCCAAATATATGTATATTTCTGATGTTTTATAGAACAACGATCACATGCATCGTACCGAGGTGTTCGTAATGAACGTGACTCAAGAGCTCGATGAGTGGGAGGACTCGCGTAGCATTGGACGCAAGCGCCAATGGTTCACCATTGATGATGCACTGTCCCAGCTGGCACTGCACAAGCCCACCCAGCAGCACTATTTGATGCAGCTGCAGCACTCGAAGACGCTGGAGAATGCCCACACCCCAGGTCGTGTAGTTAATGCTACCCATCCGCCGATCTTGGCAAACTCCGCATCTGCAGCAGCGTCGCCCACAACGGCATAAAGACAAACGCAGAATGAATAAGCACGAACATACGCATACGCATACATAAACAGACACAGACACACACCATTAACCCACATGCACATATTATTTGCACTCCCTCTTTCTGACATTTGAAAAATTTACAATTAGACAGGCAGTTCATATTTTCAGTACGTTTAAATCATTACCCCAACACCCGCTCCCCATTAGAATTGACTAAGAAGTCCGCATCTTTTCGAGTTTACTTTAAGTCGAACGCTACATTTATGTTTTTAGAAATTGTATTGATAAAAAAATGTATGTACGTTAAATAAGAGAACGCATGAAAAACAAAACAAACAACTAAATTAACAAATGAGAATAAATCTACAACAAAAATGTAATAATTTTTGAGCGCATAGGGCACTTTTTGCAAAACGAAAACATGTACTAACAACAAATACGATATCTATTAGATTTTTCTACTCTTTTATAATTTACTTAAAACGTCTTGATTATTGTAATAAACCATTGGAAATGGCTTTAAGGAAGCGCTAAAATTAATTAATTATGCTAAGCGCCTAAAATCATAAAACAAACATAAATTCTAAATTATAAACGAAGAGAGAACACACGAAACTATTTCGTTCGATATCTGCCACATTTAAATGATTGAACAACCTCTGTATAAACTTCTGTTACAGGTAGAATCATTAGATCATTAAAACTAAAAAAATTGACTAACGATGCCTATGCAAGAAAAAGTATAAAAACGCAAAGGAAAATATAAAACAAAGCTATGCCGAAACAAAAAAAGATTAACTTATTGTAAAAAAGAAAATTATGAGATGTGAGTGAATCCATGTAAAATCAAGAGGGATCCCAAATCAAGCTACATTTTAACAATAGGGCATATGCACGCTGTACTTTTCAAAAATACAAGGCAGAATAAATAAATGATAAATACATATAAAAATTTAAAACTTAAAATGTCATTGTGATAAAAACTAATCAACACTTTTATGTAGCTCTTTTTGGAATACACTTTTGAGCACTTTCAAAGACGAAATTTTAATTCAAGTTTGAAACGCCCGCGAGGCCAATTGATTTTCAATGTGAACTCGAAATAAGTTGCAGAAAAACAATATTCATCGGCAAGCTTAAAAATAGAGAAACAAACTGTTTCAGTTTAACAATAATTTATGACAATTTAAAACGAAAATAAAAACAACCAAAAAAAAAAAAAACTAACTGCATTATCATATGTTAAAAAACGTTTATTTTTGTTAAATCTATATGCGTTACTTAACTAAATCTAATTTATGTAAAAATGCTACCAATTGTTGAGCAAGCCATCAGGCGTAGTTACCAATTCTACTACATGTGCATCCTGGCCACCTAAGCGCCTCCTCGCTGGGCTAGCCGAGAGCTCTGACTGTCCACCTCGACGTCCGAGCCGGAGGCCGTGATTACGGCCTGCAAGAGCTGCTTCAGCTCGTTGTAAAGCCTGAGCGCAAGCTGGAGGCTGGGCGCCTGGCGACGGCCTGGCACCTGGTGCTCCTTTGGCGGTTGCACGCACATCTTGACAAGCTTCTGCAGAGAGCGCGGCAAGCGTATGCCACTCAGCAGACCTGGCTGGAACGTTCCACTGCCCAAGAGGACGTGATCGCAGAATATCTGAAAGTTGTTGTTCTGCTGGATATGTGTGCAGGCCTGGCGCTCTGCGTCGCACAATCCGCGACAGGAGTGGAAGCTGCAGTCTTGGTTGCTGTGGCACTTGACGCCATTAGATATGCGCTTGTCCAGATAGCTCTCGACATAGACGTGCTCCGCGCTTTGGTACTTCAGGCGCCTGTCGGGCGTGAGTCCGAAGCGATTCACCTGCATTTTGCACATACGCAGCGGCTCCGGCTTCATCTCCTCCAGCCGAAATATGTACTCCATGATGCTGAGAGCGTGCTTCAGACGCTGCTGTCTATTGGACGAGCTGTCAGGTAGGCAAAACAGATTTAGCCAGATGCGAATGATATATGTTTGGCATTTGCTCACAGATACTGAATGATGCTGGGATTAGCCTGCACGATCTCCAAGCCCTCCGTGGCATAGTAGGGGCCACAGGAGCCCAACACCGCTGGAAACACGGAGTCCTCGTCAAAAAGCTTGCCCATCATATAGTTGTTGTCCTTGAACAAGCGCCAAAAGCTAACCATCTGCTGTGAGTTATTATCCGCGATCTCCTGGTTGACCAGGGCGCGTATCTGACATACGAATGAGCAAAGTTAACTTTTTGGTTTTAGGAGAACTTCAGATGCTTACCATATTATCATCCAATGTCACGTTGTACGCCAGGATGATGTGGAGCTTGACAATCTCGTGGAACTCCTCGATTTTTGGGTAAATCTCCTCGCCCTTGCTGTTCGTCCAGCTCAAGTCGTCGTCGTTGTGCTTCGCCAGCTGCGTGGAAGCGGTATTGTTGTCATGGCATCTGAAGCCCTAATATCAAACTGACCTACCTTTACGGCGAGCATGTCGCCATTCTTTTCAGCCGTAAACAGAATCGTCTTCATGTCGTTCAACGGGCATTGGAAGTTGTCGAAGGCCGTCTGGCTGCTGCACAGCTCCTCGCAGAGGGATCCACTGAACTCGTGCTGCTCATACTTCTGGCACTGCCCCACAAATAATATATATATATATATATATA